TGAATTCCAACAAGTTGTACAAGAGCAATAAGAGTTCCGAGTCGCCAGCGCACAACAGCGCATGTCATAGGTAACCAAACATCCAACAGAAATCACCCAGATAAGTATCTTCTTCCTCCCTGCTCTTCTCTCTCTGTTGTATCACCCTCCCTTGCTGGTCTTCTCCCTAGCTTATGACCTCGCTGTATCTTCTCTCCCTACATGCATGCACACACACACTGACTTCTACTCAAAGATCTACTCTGAATACCCCCACTGTCAACTCTACTAACCCCCCTGGAGTCCACTACTAACAACTAGCACTAATACTGCTGCACTGGCGCAGCTATGGCTGCCTTCACCCTGTCAGCGCTATCTTCCTCTCTCCCTCACTTAGCGCAGCACTCTGGCCTCAGCGCTCTGCTCCTCACTGCAGCGCACAAGTGCACCTACACTTCCACACTTCTTGCGAATGAACAATCTGCCCGAACGGTAGGCTGGCCAGTCCTCTTGTAGTCTTTGAATGCTCTTCAACTCGTGCCAGCCTCTGCTTTCTGGGACCTGGCTGGTTCTAATACCACATACCCACGGCCTGTCTATTTGTGAATGTCAAGGCCTGGAACCTTCCCGAATTTCCTTTGGTCTGCTGCTGCTTGGACCTTTGAGTCGTGACTTTTTACTTGTGAACATGACTTTTGACTGTGGACTGTGACTCCTGCCTCTTGAGCACGACTTTTGCATGTGGAACTGTCCTTTTACTCGTGGAATGTGACTCTTCAATATGACTTTTCATCATGAGACGTGACTCCTGCCTTTGGACATGACTCTCGCTTGTAAGTCTGCCTTTTCACTCGTGGGATGTGACTCTTCTAAATGGCTTTTTATTATGGAACGTGACTCTTGTCCCTGAGATGTGACTGTTTGCTGGGTGCCTGTTGGACCAGACTGCTGAGGTACCCGACTGTGACTTATTTGAATTTGACGGACTTGGCCTTTTCTTGACCTGGGCATCTGACCCTGAGATCCGAATTTGGTGTCTGAATCGTGGAAGGCCTTCCACTCTCGCCGGCCTAATTTCAAGGTCCTTCGAGAAACAACTATCTATCCACTATATTGATTCCTCTTCGAGCCCTCTTAGAGTAAGACACAATATTCGATGCAGTTTGAATCAGCTCTTCCCTATTAAACCAACGATTTTCATATGGTTCTTGATAAGCAAATCTTACCTTGTACTATCGTTGTGGCCTACCTCTGTGTTCGGATCTGAACACATCTTCTCCAACAATCCTGTCTACATCATACTTTCCATCCATATCAGGGGGAATCATCGATCTGCGAGTAGGGAACAACTCGTTAGTAACACAAGGTAGAAGCTTGGAAGCATGAAACACCGGATAAGTGTGCAAATGTGGAGGTATCTTGATAACATAGGAAGGACCATCCACGTCTCTGATCACAACCAAAATTTGCCACGGTACTCTATAGGCGGGTAACAGTTTCTGAGAGATGTTCTCCTCAGGGAGAAACTCTTTGGACTTTACCCAAACTAGATCTCCTACAGCAAACTGCGAAGGTCTAAGATGTTTGTTTGCTTGTTCTATCATTTGATTTTGTGTTTTGACTATATTTTCTTTAACCTTTTCAATATCTTTCTGGTATTGTACATCAAATTCCCTAGTTCCCGGTGGAAGTCTCTGTATTTGATCAAGATTTAAACAGTCTATGGGTCTACGAGGGCGCCCCCAGATGCAACTCGGTAGGTGTTCTGCAAGTTGATAGATGTACAAAATTGTTATAGGCACTAGCAACTTTGGACAGATGTTCATCCCAGTCAATTTGATCTGATCAGATGTACATTCGCAGCGTCTGATGCAACAACTTGTTCATTTGCTCGGTCTGTCAGTTAGTCTCCGGATGTCTGTCGGAGGACATAGTCAACTTAGATCCATAGACGTTCATGAGTTGCTGCCACTGTTCACTTGTGAACCGAGTGTCTCTGTCACTAACAATGGTTAAGGGATGCCCAAAATCCTTTACCCAATGATTAAAGAATTCTCGGATTACCAAATCCGTTCTGGCTTCAACGGGAAGTGGAAAAAAAACAACAAATTTACTAAATCGGTCTACCACAACCATAACCTGACTTTAACCATTTCTGCTTAACTTTAGTGTCCATAAAGTCAATAGACACAGAGTCTCCAGGACCTGACGGAATAGGCAACGGTTTGAGTAAACCAAGTGGAGTTTGTGTGGAACTCTTGTTCCGCTAACAAACTTGACAACCTTGAACATAAGCGATACAGTCGTGTTTCACTCCAGTCCATGTATAAGAACACAGGAGGTTAGCATACGTTTTCCTCCAACCGAAATTCCCTCGCTATCATGACATTCCCCTAGGATCAGACTTCTAATCTCTTCATTGTTCGGAATACATAGTCTATCATGCACATCCGTCTTTTCAAATAACATTCCTTGAGTCACTCTATAGTCCGGAACTTCATGAGGTGCCTCTTGCACTTTCTTTATTAAGGCGCTATAGATAGGATCAGCAGCGTATGCAGTCCTAACTTTTTCTTGCACATCAATGCCTACATCAAAATACGTTACAATGGCACCGGCAACAACGTTATATTTCCCCTTAACAAGCTTCAACTCAAAATCAAACTGATCAATCTCAGCGGCCCATCTCGTTAGCTTAGGCGTCATACGGGCCTGCGGTTTAAGCCAGCGAAGTGTCTCATGATCAGAGTACACTTTGAAATGGCGTCCTAGAAGATAGTGTCGCCAATGACTCAAAGCTTCCCGGAGAGCGAACAACTCTCTTTCATACGTGGAAGCGGCGACCTTCTCACTAGGCACTCGACAAGACATAAACTCAACTAGCTTGTACCCCTTGCCATCGTCTTGCTGGAGTACGGCTCCTATCCCGTATTGACTGGCGTCGGTTGTTACTAAGAAAGGCAAAGATGGATCTGCAACTTTCAATACCGGGTAATTAATTAAACATTTCTTTATACGTTTAAAAGACACAATACAGTCTTGGTCCCATTTCCAGATTGTTTTTTTCTTCAACAATCTGCGTCATGGGGCAGCAATTACCGTAAAGTTCCGAACGAACGTGCGGTAATAGTTGGCCAGGCCAAGGAACGAACGCAGTTCCGTTACAATACGTGGGTTAGGCCAGTCTCTGATAGATGCAATCTTAGCGTCTTCCGGTGTAATGCCATCACCATCTACCATATGTCCAAGATACAAAACCTGACGCTTCGCCCACTCACCATTTCTTGGGATTAATCTTGAAATTGCCTTCTCGCAACTTATTTAGCACAGCCCGAAGGTGCTCACTATGCTCAGTCAACCTCTTGCTAAAAAATAGAATATCATCCAAATAAACGACGACAAACTTATCGAGCCAATCATGAAATAAATCATTCATACTTCGTTGGAAGATTGCAGGTGCGTTACTTAGACCAAACGACATTACAACAAACTCATAGTGTTCGTATCTAGTTTGGAAAGTCGTCTTATGCTGGTCTTTTGGCTCTACCTCAATCTGATGGTAGCCATATTTTAAATCAATTTTCGAGACGTACTTCCATCCTTGCACCTTATCCAACAAATCATCTATCCTGGGCAACAATTCTGCATTTTTCACTGTTATAACGTTGAGCCCCCTGTAATCTATGCACATGCGCAATTCACCGCCCTTCTTTGGTACGAACAACACTGGGGCACCGAATGGTGAGGAACTTGGTATAATCCACCCCTTTTCCAATAACTCATCTAATTTTTTTCGCAGTTCATCCAATTCCATGGGAGATATTCTATAAATCGGGCCTTTGGGTATTTTGCTACCGGGTTCTAGTTCAATCCGGTGCTTAGTCTCTCTCTCAACTACTCCACTCAGAGCCTCTCCCACATCTATGAACTCACTTAGTAATTTTTATATCTTGGGGGGAATAGGTTCTACCTTTCTTTCTTCTTCCCTCACTGGGCGCACATATGCAACAAACACCTAATCTACAAGGTCATTCTTGGCTACATGTCGGGCAAATGTAGGGGCACTCATACAACAATGGGCTAGGCTACTCTCCGAACCGGATGCATGAAACAATCGTACCTTTTTCTTCCCACCCTGGGGACTGGGCAGATAATACTCATGCTCAGTGCTCACCCAATTTGACGTCTGCAGCCGCAGCTTCGCCCCAATCAGTTCCTAAGATCATGTCAAAAGGGAGACTATCCTCCACTAAGAGTGTCAGGGAGTGCAAACTCGTTATATCTTACCCCCTGCCTCCAACCGGAAGTATGCCCTTACCCTTTCAACATATCCCCTTACCCCTTCAACATAACTATCTACTACCATATCTCTATTATCCGCCAGCTTGCTTACGACGGGCTGGTCTAACTTTTGGACTTTCAGCCCCAACCGCATCTTCTGCAGCTCTTTCTTGCTAATACAATTGCTCGCTGAACCACTATCTATAAACGCACCCACTCTTACTTTATTAATCTCTATATCTGCAATTAATAATTGCCCTTTTTTTTTCTTCATTTCAGCCCAAGCGAGGCGACGAGTGATCAGTTCATCACCTATGCTTGGGAGGGAACCACCTAGAGAAATCCTAGCACAAGCAACTTCTGGGCAGCTAACTAGGTAGGGGCCGACTACCGTCTCAGTCTTTGCCATCGGGACCTCTAGATGGGAGGATGACAGTCTGCTTGCATCCAGAGTCCCTGTAGAGGCAACTGCAACCTCTACTGGTTGTTCCCTTTTGGGTACCTATACTCAGGACTGAAGGGAACAATGTGGTCGGGGTCACAACATTTGAAACATTGACCGGCCTTGAGATGTTCTTCCCATGTTTTCTCGTCTATACCCATTTCTAACCAAGGTTTGCCTTCAGCTATCCCTGGGTGTTCCGGGTATGGCCGTCTACCTCTACCTCTTCCCCCTGTGGAGTTGGGACCTCTACCTCCTTGCGAGGAGCCATTACCCCTACCTCCCACATAGTACCCACCTTCGCCACTACCCCTCTGGGCGGCGGGTCCTCTTCCTCCACCTCGACCGTGGCCTCCTCTTCCTCTACCACGACCTCTTCCTCCTTGTCGCCCTCCCCCGCGGGCTGCAACAACTGCAAAGTCCCCTCCCTGGACTAAGTGACCGTTGCTATCTTCTTCCCCTCCATAATCTATTTGGTCATATGTAAGAGACTCTACACCTTCCTCGAAGGTGACCAGTAGGTTGTCTTTCCCTGTGACATTACCTAAAATTGTTCTATCTTTCCATTTCTTCCCTGCTTGCAAGTCTTTCCAGTAGTGGCAGTATTGTGCCTCCTGTAGGAAACCAGCATGATCTACTGCGATAATGCTGAATTTCTCATAGGTCATTCCCTCTTCTTTGGTGCGGGATATAGCTGTGTTTTCAGGGGATCAGGAAGCGCTCTAGCGAAGTTATTCAGGATCTGGGCCGGTGTCAATCCGTGATCTGGGCATTGCAACAATTCATTCATCGTGGCCTTGAGGGTTGATGCACTCTTTCATTTACGGTCACCTATGTTAAGAATCAAAGACTCATTCCTACGGGCCAGGTTCTTATCTTCGAACCTTTCTCTAAGGGCTTTGAAGAAGTCTTCGATCCGCATCTGTTGTGAATATTCAACCATAGTTCTGCAGCCTGGCTCTTTCATCAAAGAAATAGCGAAACTCATGGTGTCCCCTGCCATGCACGAACTTGCCATCAGCACCCGGTCCTAGTACGAAATCTTTTGTGCATACAAGTACCCATAGCCGCCTCCCAGCGGAAGATGTTTTCCTCTTTTTTCCCCGTATAAGTCCAGGGCAACTTCACCTTCATCTTTTGCCTGGATTCTTCCTCTTCACTATCTTTTTCCTTCTTAGGAACCTTCCCTTTCTTATCCTCATCATCTCCATCATCGCCTCCATCTCCTCCCCCACCACCAATCTTCAATTGTTTTATTGCGGCGGGGTCTTTAAGTCTCTGGCAGAGAGCTTCATCTAACTGTTCCACATAATTGCGGACTCGCAAGTCAATCTGCGGCGAGGCATTATTCAGAAAGTTATTCCAGGTATTAGCAAATTCTCCCTGTTGCGCTTCTGCTTTGGTTACGGTCTGATGAAGTACGACGAGTTGTTCATTGGTATGGAGGAGGGTGTCAGTGAGGAGGGTAAGTCTTTCTTCTATTGCAACTTGTTTCCCTTTCTGCTCTTGCAACATCTGCCGCAATCTCTCTCCTTGCTCTTTCATCTTCTTCTTCTCATCAGACTCTTTTCTCCTTTTTAGTAGCATGCGATTGTGCAAGCTTGCTCTCTTCTCCTCCACCAACAACCATTTCTCTGCTTCATCCTTCACTTCAAACAACAGTTTGAGGAAAGCTTCCTTCTCTTCCTCACTCTCTGCCGGCAGCTCCTCCCGAAATCCAAACTGGCCTAGCCAGTCCATTGCCTCCAACTAGCGCATCCGTATGCCACCCATTTGACTGCTCTCGGCCTGCTCCGCCCGTGGGTGACCTCTCCTTTCCAATCTTTCTCCCACATCTTCTTCTTTTTCTTCTTCTTCTTTTTCTTTTTCTTTTTCTTTTTTCAATTCTTCCATCAACTTCCTCTCCTTGTCCTTCATCTCCTTTTCCAACTTCTCTTTTTCTTCTTGCAACTCCTTCACTTCCTCCTCCTTTTTCTTTATTTTTTCCTCCTTTTCTTTCTTCTTTTTTGCTCGGCGGCGATTTACCTCAGCCTGTTCTTCAACTGTTTGGGCCTGTGTTGACTTCCCAAACCTCTGCACAACATGTAAGAAGAGGGTTCTCTGAAACCCAAGAGGAAAGACAAAACGAAGGAGTGGTCCCCATGGCACTGACAGGGATACTAGTGCGAACATAAGATAGTCATCCATGGTGATCAAAAGCACAGGTAAACGGCCTCCACCTCCTCACCACTTAGATCTAACTCCCTACTACTAACTACTAACTCACGAGTGGGTAGGACTGTTGCTGACTGTTGATTACCTCCCCAGAATTATATACGTATAGTTTTTTTTTAATCAAACGGACTGGTTGCTAACTCTAATAAATTGAGTGCGTGACAACTTAGACCAGCCCAGCAACAACAACACCAGGGGTAATGGAGGTTCCAATCACCAAGACAAGTCAGCAAGCAATACATGTTTAAAGGGGGGAATGCACTTCTCTCCAATGAACGTTCCGTTGATGAAGCTCCACGGCCACTCCAACGCTCCAACGCAGCAGCAAGAGGTACGTAATCAAGTCACTTCTTCTTCGGCCTTCTTCTTCCCCTCCTTCGTCAGTCTTCTCCCCGCTCAACTCACTCTCTTATCTCCCTCCTCACCGGCCTTAATCGTTGCCAGCGATGTCCAAAGGGTGTAACGAGCAACTGCTCCGATACGAGTTTGCAATGAACCACTTAGTTCAACACTAGTGAGCGCACATATTCACACCTCATGCATACATGAGATCACACGAAGTTCACATTGAAGACCATAGAGATTAAAACCAGATAACGCAGCTTATGAATTCCAACAAGTTGTACAAGAGCAATAAGAGTTCCGAGTCACCAGCGCACAACAGCGCATGTCATAGGTAACCGAACATCCAGCAAAAATCACCCAGGTAAGTATCTTCTTCCTCCCTGCTCTTCTCTCTCTGTTGTATCACCCCTCCTTGCTGGTCTTCTCCCTAGCTTATGACCTCGCTGTATCTTCTTTTCTTCCTCCCTGCTATTCTCTCTCTGTTGTATCACCCCTCCTTGCTGGTCTTCTCCCTAGCTTATGACCTCACTGTATTGTTTTATTTTTTTCTCCAAACAACAACTCGAATCTTAATTAATCTTTTCACACCTTATTCGAAATTAGTTTGGACTTTGAAATTATTTCTTTTTTTTTCTGATTTCTCTCAAACTTTTCACTTCTTTTTCGAAATATCTTTCTCGAAATTCGAACATAACCTTAATTCATTCTTTTTCGAAATTTTTGTAATTCGAAAATGTTTTAGAATTAATTCAATTCTTCTTCGATATTTCCTCTTCACATTTCAAAAATTCTTTTTTTTCCCCCTTTTTCAAAATTCTTAAAAATTACGTAGAACGGTAGAAATAATTATTCTTTCTCGACATTTCTTCCTTGAAATTCTAAAATAATTTTATTTAATTGTTTTTTGAAATCTTTGTAATTCCAAAATATTTTAGAATTTTTTTTTTTTTTTTTTTGTAATTGCAAGGAAAATAAGCAACAGCGAGATGACAATTTCAGTTCACACCATCACATTGAAAGCCAGATAGTCACACTGTGTCCAGAGAGCAACATTGCACCAATAATACACCAATGGAAGTTCGTAGTTTTGAAAACCAATGTTCATGGAGAGCAATCTCTCTCCCCTCAACACAAGAGTCCAGTTCCTTCACACTCACACTCGGCGCTCAGCGCCCAGCCTGCTCCTACACAGCTACTAGAGACTACAAAAAGACAATGCAACTGTTGACATCGGCGGCAGCCCGAAGTACTTGAAGATGTCACCCATGCAGACCATCGCCAATACAAGGTAAGTGCCCTCACATCATCATCATCATCATCATCCTTCACCTATCCCTTGACTACACCCACGTCTGTCCTTTGTTTCACCCGAAGACCACCCCTGCGCTTCACTGTAGTCCAAGCCCACCAGCTATGGTGGCTGGGCTATGGCGCTGCCCTCAGCAGCGCCCTCCTCCTCTGCACGACCGCACGTGCTGCACCTCGCCTATCAGCGCCAGCCAGCAGCCGTGAGCCTTTGCTCCAGCAGCGCTGCCGCTAGCATGCGAGTGCCTAGATGAGGCTGCCTGGCCATAGCTCTTTCCTCTATGGAAAAGAGCTGGCCAGCTCTCGCAGCCTGGCTGGGCTGGCCTGGGCCCAGAAGCTTCCGGAGGGCCCCAGGAGGCTGCCTGCGTACAGCAGCTACTGGGCTGCTGGGCCTCGTTCGGTTGGGCGCCCAATTGTCTCTGTATGAGGCTGCGAATCACGCCCAGGGCCTGCATTCTTTGGAAATGTCTTTGTTGCTCGGCCTGTGTTTCTTTCAACCAACAGGCGCGTCTTAACTGCCTGGACCCCAAATATGAAATTGACAGTCGAGGGCCTCTTGCAAAAAGTCAGGCCCGCCTTCACTTAGGGCAGGTAATGCTGCAAATAGGGCCCCATAGGCCTACCGAGGACCCTTATCCTCGCATAATTAAAAAATACGTTAGAATTAATTAATTATTTTTCAACATTTCTTTGGAATTAATTAATTCTTTTTCAGTTATTATTTTTTTTTTTTTTTGCGTTTTTTCATTCGAAAATAAGTTCGAATTAATTAATTATTTCTCAACATTGCTTTTTCAAAATTCGCACAACAATTTTAATTCATCCCTTTTCTCGCACATTTTAATTCATCAAATTCCTTTTTGATTTTTTTTTTGAAATTCGAAAATTAACTAGGCTACCAGAGTGGCCCGGTGTTACTTGCCCGGAAGGGCCAAAAAAAACAAAAAAAATATTTTTTTATTTGATTTTTTATTTTAAATTTGGTAAAGAATTTTGATGCCACCCTGAGGCAAAAGTTGTTCAGTTTTTTTTTTCTGCACAACATAGTTTATTTTTCGGATTTTTTTGGAGTTGTTTTTCGTTTTTTTTTTGTTTTTGCTGGTATTTTCTCTAGTCCTTGCACGGGCTGGCCACCCGGGACCTGGGTGGCCCGGCTGGTAGCCTACAAAATTAATTCTTTTTCGCAATTCTTTTTCGAAATTCTCTTTCGAATTTTTTTTTTTGTTCGGAAGCACTTTTTTTTTTTTTTTTTGATCTCCTTATTAATTTAGACTAAATTCGGTTACTTCACGACTAAATTAATCTCTTTAATGAGACTGAATCGGAATTAATCACCCCTTTTTGAAATTATAAAATTCTACCCCCAACATAAACTCGAATAAATTTAGTCAGAATCTAGGCTACCAGAGTGGCCCGGGGTCAGTTGCCCGGCCGGGCCAAAGATTAAAAATAAAAATAAATATTTGTAAATTTTATTTTTTATTATAAATTTGGTGAAGAATTTCGATGTGACCCTCAGGCAAAAGTTGTTCAGTTTTTTTTTCGGCATAACATAGTTTGTTTTCGGATTTTTCCGAGTTTGTTTTTACTTTTTCTTTTTCTGTTGGGACCTTCGCTGGTCCTTGCACGGGGTGGCCACCCGGGACCCGGGTGGCCCAGCTGGTAGCCTAGGTCAGAATTTATTTTTCTTCTCGGAATTAATTATTCTTTTTCTTCATTTGGAAATTTATGAAAAAAAACGCTTTCTCTCTCAAAACCTTTTTTTTGATTTGTCTTGAAAAATACACTCGACTTGATTTCGAATAAATTCAAATTAATTTATTCAAAATTAATTCTTGTTTTGAGAATTTTATTTCCTTCATCGCTAAATCAATTGATGTTACTCTACCCCTGTAAATAGGAATCCCTCCCCGGGCATGACACGCACAACTAGGAACTCTCAACGCGCAGCCGCGGACGCCGATGCTGTTGCTGCCGCCTCCACCTCAACCGCAGCCACCACCGCTTCCTCCCGCACCATGGCCCAATCATCCAACATTGATATGCCCAGCATCCAACTCCGTCGACAACATCGCCCGCAACCTCGCAGAAGATCAAACACCAGCACCCAATGCTGCCACCGATCTCGCGACACTTCTCCGCATGGTGACATCCATCCAATCATCCATCGCCAACATGAACACCACCATGTCGACCATCTCCGACCGCGTAGCTGCAATTGAGGGAAACTCCCCCGCCATCACGATCGTCACCATGGCCTCACCCTCCTCCTCAAGAAACCACCTCGTCCTCCACCCCACACCGCCCCCGATTCTTTCACAACCTAACAGACGAGACCTCCCTCTCCACCTCCTCGGATGACTCCCTATCTGACACCATGGATACCTCGACAGTTTCCCCTGACGAGCTCTCTGCCATTCACCTCATGCGAATGGAAAAGAGAGAACGCTCAAGCCGCCCTCCGCCGAACACCCTCCCAGGTCGCCTCAAGAAACTCACACCCGAGGAAACAGCCCACCTTCAGGCAAAAGGTGGATGTTTTCGGTGCTGACATTAGGCCACCAGCAAATCAACTGCCCACTTGCTAGACAATTCACACGACAGTCCGCGGCCCCCCAACCCGCCACTTCCGCATACGCCACTCCCAGTCCCTCCTCCACTTGAACACTGTCCCCATGGTCACCACGAACCCGCCCCGGCATTGACGACTAGTCTGCTGCTTGTACATCCCCCCGCCACTTGCAAATCCCGCCGAACGACCCCCAGGCGTCGCAACCCTCATCGCCTAACGCCCCCCTCACTGCCACTTGTAACTCTGTCACCTTCTCAGATGTTGTCGAGGAACAAGCCCAACTCGATCGGCTTGTCCGATTAGGCGATGAACAACGCCGCCTCAACACCATTATCTCCACCGCCAACTCATCACGCTTCCACCTCAAATTCATCGTCGCCACCCTTGGTGCATCTACGACTAAGTTTCCGGCCCTCCTCGACATTGGAGCCACTGGTAACTTCATCACCGACGCGTGTGTCCGGAAAGTCGGTCTTACCTCTACCGGTTACTACTTCACGATTAAGATTCGTTTAGGGGACAAAGACACCGCTGTAGACCGCACGGTTCCCGAAACCACCATGACTATCGGAACCCTCCGCAATTCTCGTTCGATGTAATGCACTTAATGTGCGATATCGTTTTGGGAACACCGTGGCTGGACTGCTACATGCCATACACGTTCCACCCCAACTTCCTCCGCCTGACCAACCCCCCCGGAAACAACCAGCGACATTCCCTATCTCCCCTATCCCACCTCCCCAAGCTTCGTCACCCCCACCAATTCCTTCACATGGCCCGCACGAACCCCGACTCCACCTACTATTGCCTTGTCCTTGAATGCGAGCGTCCCGAGGACTTGCTCCCAACGGACAAACCTGACCAAGCCCCCCCTTCCGACCCCGCCCTCACCTCCATCCTCGACGAGTTCAAGGATGTCTTTCCCGAGTCCTTGCCTACCGGATTACCTCCGGATCGTGGCGTATCCCACACCATCGATTTAGAACCTGGTCACTCTTCACCTTGCCGCCTTCCGTACCAACTCTCCGTTTTGAAAGCCAAATGAAGCGGCAACTCAATGAACTCCTTGAAAAATGATTCATTAAGCCGAGTTCATCCCCCTTCGGCACAAGCTGCCTTTTCGTAAAGAAAGGCGGAACATCGAAACTTTGGATGTGCACAGACTACCGCGCCTTGAACCGAATCACGATCAAGAACAAGTACCTCCTACGTCGGATCTCCGAGCTTCTCGATCGACTTCGTGGAGCCAAGTATTTTACCAAGATCGACCTCCGCAGTGGCTTCCACTAGATCCGCATCTGCGAGGAGGATACCCACAAGACCGCCTTCCATTCCCGATTCGGGCACTACGAATTCCTCGTGATGCCCTTCGGACGCACGAACGCCCCCGCCACATTCCAATCTACAATGAAGCACATCTTCCGCGACCTCCTCGAAGTTTGTGTCGTCGTCTATCTCGATGATATCCTCGGAGACAGCCCCACATTCGAGTCCCACCTTCAGCATCTCCGCCAAGTCCTCTCTATCCTCAGAGAGCAAAAATTATACGCCAAGCTCAGCAAATGCACCTTTGCCGCTTCAAGCGTTGAATACCTTGGCCACATCGTCTCCGCTGAAGGTATCCACATGAACCTCTTGAAGGTCACCTCCCTCGTCGAGTATCCACCACCCAAGACCCTACTTCAACTTCGATCATTTCTCGACCTTGCCAACTACTACCGCCTCTTTATCCGCAACTTCTCTGACATCTCGTACCCCCTTCATGAACTCACCCGCAAGGACGAACCCTTCACTTGGAATGACAACCGCCAAAACGCCTTCGATGCCATCAAACAACTCGTCACCCCCGCCCCCGCCCTCAAGATCGTCGACCCCACTCACCATTTCTACGTCACTACCGATGCCTCCGACTTCGCCATTGGAGCCGTCCTGTCCCAAAATTTTCCTCATGTCACCACCGAAACTCCCTCCATCAAGGAATCCCCTACCCACCCCAAGACCCCACCCAGCAAATACCCCATCGCCTTCGCTAGCAAGAAACTCCTTCCCGCCGAAATGAATTACCTCTCCAATGAAAAGGAGCTCCTCGTCGTGATCCACGCCCTAAAAGTTTGGCGCCCGTACCTCAACGGGCAATATTTCACCATCCGCACGGATAACACCATCGTCTCTTCTATCCTAACAAAGAAAGGCATTACCCCACGACAAGCTTGCTGGTTAGACTTTCTCGTTCAGTTCACCTTCATTGTTTGCCATACACCCAACAAAAGCAACCATGTTGCTGATGCCCTCTTCCGGGGCCCCGATCACAAACCCCCTGAGAAAGTTTACGCTGCAACGACACATATCCAACTCCTCCCGTCTCTTCACCATCGCTACACCCAAGGCTATCTCTCTTGCCCAAACTTTGCACCCATCTACAACAAGCTTCGTGACCTTAACCCTGTCCCCAGCTACTCCCTCCATGACAATCTCCTTTACATCGATACTAAAGGTACTTGTTGACTTTGCATCCCTGACGCACGTGGTCTCCGTACCTAGTTTTTGGCCGAACACCATGACGTGAAGACTACAGGACATCTTCGGTTCCAGAAAACATTCGACACCATCTCCCACTACTTTCACTGGCCTTCCCTACTCGTCGACGTCAAAGCATACATCCGCTCATGCCCCACGTGTCAACCCGTCAACCCCTTAAGCCGCGCCAAGCCGGACAAGCTACAATCATTGTCGATCCCCACCCACCGGTGGCAGTCCATCTCTATGGACTTCGTCTGGGGCCTCCCCAAGACCGACCGCGAACATGATTGCATCTATGTCATTGTTTGCCGCTTGACTAAATGTGCCCACTTCATCCCTTGCCCCACATCGCACAACGCCAAGGACATCGCTATTCACTTCCTCAACCATGTCGCACGCCATCACGGTGTCTCCCGAGAACATCATCAGCGACTGTGACCCTCGCTTCCTTGCACATTTTTGGAAACACCTCTTTAAAGCCTAGGGAACCACACTCAAGTATAACACTGCATTCCACCCACAGACGGATGGACAAACCGAGAACATGAACGATACTCTCCAAAGAATCCTGCGGAAGTATTGTCATCCACATAAACACGACTGGGATCAGTTGCTCACCGCCACCGAGATCGCCTACAACATCGTTGTCTGTCCTTCCACTGGCACGTCTCCATTCTACCTTGACCTAGGGTATCATCCGCGCCTGCCCTCCGATTTCCTACTCCCCTCGCAAGTCAACCCCTCCACACCCTGCCCTTCCCTCAATGAATGGGTAGCAACAATGAATCGATTCCTTAGAGAAGCAATCGAAGCCCTTGAAAGAACACAAGAACAACAAGCAAACAAGAATAACAAACACAGATGTGACCCGAAATTCAAAGTGGGGGACAAAGTTTGGCTCTCCTCCAAACGCTTTAAACCCGAACACGAATTGTCAAAGAAACTCTCGAACAAATGGCTCAGTTCCTTCCCCATCATTGAACAAACCTCCCCCGTCAATTACAAGCTCCAACTCCCTCCTGGCATGGATCGCGTCCACCCTGTCTTCCACGTAGAATACGCAGAAGAATATCATGAATCCCCACCCCAATTCATTGACCGCCCTTACCCCAGACCTCCACCAATCATGCTTCCCACAGGCCCATAATTCGTAGTGGAATCCATCATAGGACGACGAACCACACAAGTATCTGACCATCCGGAACCAATCAAAGAATGCAAAGTCAAATGGACCGGATACCCCGATGAAGGATCCACATGGGAACCTCTTTTTAATCTCAAGAATGCCAAGAAACTTGTTCGTGCCTATGATCGTGCTCACCCTATATCCTAGGTACACAATATAACTCAAACCCTAAACCCTTGCATAAACCCCGCCTTGACCCCGCCAAAACCCCACATTCCTGCTCTACACCCCCCCTGTACCCAACAAAGCCTTTGCCTCTTGAAACCCCCCCTATCTGATCCGCTCTTGCCTCCGCCTTGCCCCGTTCTCCCATCTGTCCTCTGCCACATCCTTGTCTCTCTTGTCCAAGTTCTCTATGTGGCCCCTGCGCGTCGTCGGCGATAATGGATCTAATGGCAAGCGCACGAGGACGATGGCATGCTGCAGCTCAATACGAGGAGATAAGACAACTGGTTGGCCACCATGCTGTTCCCTTTGGCCGGCACCTTGGACTTGCAGACTTCTGGAGCACACCTCTGACATGGACATCAAGATCAGTCTGCGAAATGTTATTCGGATCAGACCTCATCATCAGATCGTGAACCGGACGCAACCTGCTAATAGGACAATCAAGCTGAAGCCCTCGTCGTCTACATCACAGAAACTGTTGAAGACTACTCCCTCACCGCCACTTTTGCGACGCCCTCCAAGACCTTCCTGAAGACATGTTTTCGGTTTTGACACTTTGTTACAGACCTAAGACGTTGTTTTCCTAGACCCCTCAGACACCCCAGCACTTGAGCATTGAACAAACMCTTTTTTTTTTTTTTTTCGCAAACCTGACAACCTATTTCATTTTTGAGTCTCTGATCTCCGGTGCTTGACTGTTGGCACCCGTTCTCAAATCCCTCCTCAGGCATTTTCGGATTTCGATACTTTGGCACCATCCGGCATTCTGGCGCCCAGGCTCAGACCTTCGATTTTCAGTTCACAAATTGCACTTCTGCCTTCGGGACTCAACTTGAGTCCGGTACTTAAGACCAGACTCAAGTTGAGCTCGGCATTCAGTTTTCGGCTTCAGTGCTTGGTGCTTTGCGACTTTGCCACTTTGCCACTTTGTGTCTGCATCCATCGAGTCGTGTCGAGTCCGTGTCGAGTTGAGTGAGTGTGTGTGTGTGCTCTCACTCCCTCCCTCTCTCTTCCCCAACCTCGCTGCTCTGCCTCAGCCCCGTCACACCACCCCTACCCGCTTTGAGACATTCACCCCCCACCATCTGATGCCCCTGCAACATAGATCTCCCCGCTCCCCCTTCTTACCGTTCAGCCCTCCGGGAGCAATCTGATCCAGCCGACTACAGTTATCGATGACACACTTATCAAAATGTTGAATCACTTCATGCAAATCTGGAAAACCAGGGCCTCTTCAAAATTATGGAATACCCCCCCAAAACACCCTACATCTTTAAGAACAACCCACTGAAGAAAGCACAGGGCGGCAGTAAGGCTGTTACAATTATTCCCCTGCCCCTTGCGCCAATCAATGTTAGGCAGCTCCCACCACGTGCATGTATCACCAAAAAAAAAAAAAAAAAACTAATTATCGGAGTTTTTTTTTTAAATTTATGGTTATACTAGAAACCACCCTATAAACCCAATAAAGAGGATTGATCACTCTAAAAGTATTATGAAGGCTGTATGCTTTAAGACCAACCATACACGACATGATTCACATGACTCGCACAGCGCGCACATGAAGCACACACAAGATATGAAGTCAAGAATAGTTTCTGTCAATCAAATCCAATACGCAAAGTTATCTTCGCTCATGCTGGACAGCTATGGCCGCCAGCCAGTCACCCCATTCTCAGGTATGGTCTCTCTCTCTACCTACTCTCAGCCTCATGTTCTCTCAGAATACCTCTCGGTGTCCTTTTTACGGACTCCGCCAAAGCTCGACCCTCGTCTGCGGGTTACCACCCGCCGGCTTGCTGTATTCATCTTCTTCGTCCTTTTTTTTTTGCAATTCTGTTTGTTTTTTATTCTTGCTTTTCTGATTTTGGACAGTTGGCGCCATCTGCATTCTAGCGCCCGTTTTCAAATTCCTTCTTTTGGGACTTCCGGATTTTGGACACTTGGCACCATCCGACAATCTGGCGCCCACTCTCAAACTTTTGATTTTCAATTCTGGCCCAAAGCATTTTCACTTTCGCCCTCAGGACCGTACTTGAGTCCGGTACTTATGCACGGACTCAAGCCAGTACGGGCAAAGTTTTCAGCCTCAGTGCTTGTGTACAGTGCGGCTTTGCTTCGACATTGTGTTCCGGAATTCAAGACTGCGACTTTGTGACTTTTGACACTTCTGCGTCCGTCGAGTTGTGTTCGAGTCTGCGTTGAGTTGAGTGAGCGTGTGTGTGTGCTCTCACTCTCCCTCTCTCTCCCAGCCTCGCTGCTCTACCTCTGCCTCGTCACACTGGTATCGGAGCGGCGTCGATTGCCCTCCCGCCCGCCCTGCTCAACGCGGAGCAGCTTCAACGACGCCCCACCATCATCGTCATCATCGTCTTCGTCATCAACATCGCCACGTCATTCCTGTCCTCGCCATCTCCAACATCCACATTGCCACGTCATCGTCATCGTCGTCACTGCCACGTTGTCAATGATCCTGAATCGCAGGCGACATGGCGCAGGTACGCTATTTTTTTTATCCTTTTTCTTTCTTCTTTTCTCTTTCCTTTGCTAAAAGTTTTTTGACTTTGTTTTGAGCCATTGCGGCTAATGCTCCTCTTCTTCTTCGCCGTTTCTTCCTTCGTTTCTCCATCATCGTTCTCATCGCCTTCCCCCCCGTCGTTCTTTGAAATTGAAACTCTCGAAATCAAAATCAATTCGATTCGCAATCGAAATCAATTCAATTCGCAATGGAAATCAATTTGATATCGATTCGACTCCTTCCGCTCCCCCCCACCATATTCACGGTCATCATCATCATCATCCTCATCGTTGTCATCATCATCATC